GGGTGGGCTTCGGGGGGCTGGAACCGGGTCACCGGTGCGGGGTGTGGGCCCGTCCTCCGCTCCAACATCCCGCCCGCTGCACCGCCCCAGCCGGCTGCCTGCGTTAGTGCTGGTCTTCGGGGCTCTCGGCAAAGGTGTGTGTAGGGCTGGTGGTCCCGCGTGGGATGGCAGGGCCCTGTGTGGGGCAGCCAGGGGCTGGTCGCTGCAGGGGGAGAGCTGGTCCCTGCCTTCTGAAACCCTCCCCAGGCTGGTGGGGCTGAAGCCTCACCTGTGGGCTGGGAGGGTGAGTGCTGGGGAGGGTGGGTGAGGGGCCGGGAGCTGCTCGCAGGGCTGCTGCCATGATTTTCCATGTCCCGAGTGTCACTGTGCTGGGATGCAGCAGTTCCCATCCCCTGGTGATGGTGTCTTTCCCGTGCCTCGCTGGTTTTCTCCCCCAGCAGCTCTGGTCCTCTCCACTGAGGCCATTGTGCCACCCCTTGCCTGACCTTTCCCTTGTGCCTCCTTGGTGGAATTGCTGGGCAGTGCCCTAAGGGTCTCTGTCCCTGCTCTTCATCTTCTTTTCCGTGGCAGAGGCCATTGGGGTGCTGAGCTGTCAGTGCTGCTCAAGGGGTGTGCTGTGGGTGTGGGGTTTGTTTGTTTTGGCTTTTTTTTTTTTTTTTTTTTTTTTTTCTTTCTTTCTTTCCAGGAAGCACTTAATGTTCTTGTATTTCTGGCTCCCTTTGCCACTTCACATTTGGCAAAGACACCAACCAAGAGTGGTTCTTAAATGTCAAACGGGACAAAACGTTTTGAAAACCCTTTAGACCAAGGTTGACATGTCAGTGCTTTGTAGCTGGTGGTTTTCTGGGTCCGTGATGGCTACTGGCAGCCAGCACACAGGCTGCAGCCATGCTGGGAGGCAGCACTTCTGCTTTAAAGGACAGATTGTTGTATTTTGGGAGTTGACCTCAGAGCTCCAGAGGCTTCAAGACCTGGGAGCCAAGGAGAAAGGTCTCCCTGGCATAAACCTCAGGTGTGGGTAAGGCTGAGTTCCCTTGAGGTGATGTGTACTCCCCTATGTTTGCCTTTTCTGTGTGCATCGTGGCTGTGGAAAGAGCAGGAGAGCTGGATTGTGGGATGCCTAAAGGTGGAAATGCTGGTGCAGAGGGGCTTTGAGAAGTTTCTCCCAGCTAGTGGAAATGGAGGATGGTACCTGTCTTTTATACATGAGCATGAGTAAGGCTTGCCCACGGGGTGTTGGATGAGTGCACATGTGCTCTGCATCTGACCTTACTGGAGCTCTGAGGGAGCAGAAAGGCTACTTGAGCCAGTCTTGAGGGATGAGGTGCCCTCTCTGTGGGGTCCTGTCAGGCACTAGGAGTGGAAAGAAGCAAAAGCAACCAGGGAAGGACAGGAGGAAGAGCTGCTGTCTGGCCTTTCTTTTGAGTACCTGTGCCTGGCACACTGCCTCTGATCACTGCTGTATGCTGTCAAGGAGGAGGAGGCTGCTCCCTGTGATGGTGCCTCTGAGATGTTTTCTGAAGTTACTTCCCTTTGAGCACATCTTCTCCCTGACCTTTGCCTGCTGCTGTCACCAGCACTTGGGTTTGGCAATTCCCACTCCTCACACCCCACACAACAAAGCCTTGATATTCCTCACCTGAAATAGAAAAGCTGACATGACATAATTTCTCTGAGCTGGCCGTTCAAAGGGAAGTGCCAGGGCTGTGTGGTGACTCCTAAAACCCTCCAAGCTTTCCCAGTGGTCATGTTCTCCTCCACTCACCTGGACCTGCAGCATGTGTGCCTTTGCAGGGAGGTGTCTGTACTTTAACCCCACAGCTGGAAGGTGTGTGGGGTCAGGGCAGTAAAATGTCAGGCCGGAGGGGAAGCTGGGGGTAGTTTTTGCAGGTGGCTGGGTTGGAGCCTGTGACCAAGCATCCCTGGTCTCTGCTGATAGCTTGGTGGAGCTGGCCTGGCCCTGAGCAGGGAAGTTTGCATGCTGGGGAGAGCAGGGCATGCACCTGAGGCTTTATGTATGCTCAAGGGTTGCTTTCCCCTGCAGCTCCCCTCTGCCAGCACCTCTTCCCCTTGCACTGTCTCCTGGTGCCCAGAAATTGCCTTCAGACCCACCATCTCGTTGGACTCCACTGGATATATTTGCAGCTGCACCCCACCAGTGTGTGCTGGTGCTGGGGATCCCCAGTGCAGGCAGACGATCCCTGCCTGATCTTACTGGTCTGCAGCCTGGGCACACTGAGGCTGTATCCTGCTCCCAGCACTGAGCTCACCCCGTGGTGCAGGATCAGGTCCAGGGGTACCTGTGCTCTGGGACAGGAGGAGCAGCAGGAGGGTGGAGCAGTGTTTTTATTGAGTTGCTGAGTGGGAATAGCAAATGTCCTGCCCCTCCTGGTGCATGGCATGGAGCCACTTGAGGCAAGAGGTGCCGAATCACCTGTTGCATATTTTTCAGCCTTGATAAGTGTGTCCGGCACCTGAGTCCCATAGGAATGCTGGGCAGGTGGGGCTCACCTCCCTGCCACGCCATGAGCAAGCTTCCCAGGAAACTTGGCTGTGCACAGAGATCTCCTTCCAGGGTGTGGAAGCAAGGTGGTTGTGAGCCAGGGAGCAAAGGCAGGAGTGCTGCTTGCTTGGAGTTACCAGCTGGGAATTGTCTTGGAGGCTGCTAGAGTGTGCAGATACGGGGGATTGGTGGCAGCTGGGAGCATCCCATGTTTGTTCCTGGGATAATCTTGCCTCCCCTGCACTGGGAAGGAAGTGGCAGGTTTGTTTTTGGGGCTGGCTCCTCCTCTGCCCTATGCCTTCCTGCTGTTAGAGTGAGCACAAGTTGGTGGCTCCTTGGGAGGCCCTTCATAGGATGGGGACTGTGTTTGCTCTTTGGGGAATAAAGCCAGAGCAGTGCCTCTGTTCTTCTTCAGTTTGCTGCATCCAGCCTGGCTTGTGATTCTCGTCATGCAGGCATGACTTTTGTCAGTTCCTCCAAGCAGCACGACCATTCCAACAAAATTTGGAAAGTCCCTTTGAATGGAGTGCCCTGACCAAGGCTGGGGTGTTTGAGAGCCCTGTCTTTGGGTTGCATGCAAGGGACATGGTTGGTGGTAGGGCAGTGGCACCCAAAGATTGCCCTCCTAACACCTCTGCCCTGATGTCAGTGGCACCTAAACCTGCTTTTGCCCTTTGCTGCCAGGCTGATCCTGGGTGGTGTGTCCTCCGCAGCAGGCTTCTTGTGGAGAAGGGTGTTAGGGAAGGCATGCAAGCCCACATGGCCGGGAGCAGCAGCTCCCTGGCTGCGGAGTGCACTGAGAGTCTGAGTTCCTGGAAGGGTTTTGGACAACTTGACTGGGGACAGGGGTTGTAGCACCACCTCAGTACCCTTTCAAGGGAAATAGCGCTTCCGTACCAAAGAGAATTTATGAAGCAGCTGTATCCACTTCTGACGGCTGCTCCTATGGAGTGTAAGAGCTCACAGGCTTCCTGGGGCAGAATGAGCCCACCCTGGTGTGGGGCAGGAGATGCAGAGTAGGATGAAGCTCATCTCGCTCTGCTAGGAGCTCTTTAAAACCCCAGTGCAGGTTGGCGAGTGGAAAAGTGCCGCTTTGGTGACAGAATTCAGTTTTCTTACAAAATAATGACACCTTGCCCATGCCTGGCTGCCTAATTCGTTCCCTGTGCTAGCAGGAAGTCAGGCAGGGGCAGTGGGTCCCCTTGGCAGGGGGCAGCTGGGGTCACTAGGAAGCTGGTGACCTCTGCATTAAGCAGCTGACCCTGCCCAGCGTGTAGTATCTCTTGATGTCCTGTGGCAGGGAAACATCCTTAATGTGGTGCTTCTGTGTGCTGCTTGGCAGTTTTTGTGTATCTGCTTTATTTTTTTGTTTCAGTCTTTTAAGTAAAAAGACGTCATTAGCAGCTGAGTGCAGGAGGGAGATGCTTGGGTGGGTTCAGCCGCAGAGTGAAGGGCTGGATAGTCAGGAAATGCTAAGCTGCAGCTGCATAAGCCCGTGTGTGTCTGCACTGAGGTTTTCCCCTTTCACAACGAGGGGCTGGCTCTCCAGCGCAGCCCACAGTGCATTTCTTAGCAGTGAGTTGTTCTGCCCCAGTGCAGGCCAGCTCTGCAGGCCAGCCAGCAGCCTGCACAATCCTTTGCTCTGCACCGAGTGCTAGCCTCTGCTGCTGAGCTGCTCTGGTTCACAAAAAAAAACACATCTAAAACACGGGGTTGTGGAGAAGGTTTTCTAGGCAAGTTTTACAGCAGATATGAGAGTGGTTCCCTCTTGCTGGGGCATGGAGATGTAACTGTAGAGTGTGCCCAGGGAACAAAATCAAGGTATTGGGGTGAGAACTGCCAGGGTGGGCTGTGGCAGTGCCAGCAGCTTCCCTAATGTCACGACGCCGTAGTGGCTCAGCTCCCGCAAACGTTCCCCGGCAGCCCTGGGTAAGCAGGGCCGAGCCTCCACCCTCTGCTTGCCGGCCTGACCTTTACACCCGGCTGAAGGTCGGGCTGGCGCGGCAGCAGGAGACAGGGTGGCGGCTGCTCCTGCCTGCTGGGGAGGTGGTGGTGGCAGCTTTTGCTGGGTCCGGGACCCGGCACCTCCTGCGGGTCTCTGCCCTTGGGATATAGGAGCAAAAGGTGAATTCCTTCTCCTTGCTCCCTTTCCCTGGGAGGGGGCTGTGCTTTGCCTTTTACTTCCCCATGCTGCCGGCAGAGCAGTGGGTGGGACCTTCCAATGGCTGCAGGCGTGCCTTGCTGTTCCAGCCAGCAGGTGACAATCTGCTGGAGGGGCTCTCTCTCTCTGCCTGTGTTGAACTGATCTGTAGATCAGCAATGTGCTGAGCCTTGCCCACCCATTCCCTTGCTGAGCTGCAGCTCAGCAGTGGTGGAGGTTTTGGCAGCCCTTGCCCATGCTGTCTTTTGGGGGGGGCGGTGTTTGGGGTGGATTTGGGAGCAGCCAGTGCCCTTTGTGCTCCTGATGCTCTGTCTGGACTCCCGCAGGGTGCTGGAGCCTCTTGGCTTCATCCTGTCTCATGCAGGGATGAACAGGCTCGTGGGGAAGGTGCCCCATGAATACTGCCTCTCTCAGCATGGGTCTGTGGCTCAGGGGCAACTCCTGCCTGCACTGATCAACCCTTTCCCCACAGAGTACAGCCGCTTCGAGTCAAAGATCCACGACCTGAGAGAGCAGATGATGAACAGCAGCATGAGCTCTGGCTCCGGCTCCCTCCGGACAAGCGAGAAGAGATCTCTCTATGTCCGGTAAGGCCCTGCCCCCTTGCCTGCCCCCTTGCCTGCCCCCGCATCATAAACAGCAGCAGTTGGGTGGGGTGGATATGTCCCCCCCAGTGCAAACTGGGACCATGGGCCACGCAGCATCTCTGCAGATGGGTGTTTGGGAGGCCAGGGAAGTGAGTGTGATGGGGGGGGCATCATAAAGCCCAGAGGGTGCAGGAGGAAGAGCAGTGCTACTGCTCTCCTTCACCAGTTCTGGGTGCTTTGCACTCAAGTGCCTCCTCTGAGGGCTGCTCCACTTTGGAAAGCACTGGTGTTTCTACAGAGCCCTGGGCAGCTACTGGCCTGGCCAACCCACTGAGAAATGGGAAATGAGGAAATGCCAGGAATTCTGCACCACTTCTGCTCTAGACAGCTCAGGGCAGTGTTCGGGGCACTCTCCTCAAACTACTCCCTGCTAACAGGCTTCTTCCCATCTCCTCCTGCCATTGCTGTGGCAGGATCTTTCTGGAGGGAGATGAGCTCTTAGGAAGATTATTGCTCTGAGCCCTGGATGCGCTTTTGGTCCCGAGCCAGGCATGGGACAGGCTGGGGTCAAGCAGCCATGCAGCTCTAACTGCCACAAGTCCTGCACTGACAGGACAGCCCCTGCTTACTGCCTGCTTCCTGCCACCTCCGGCCTTCCACAGCACAAGTAGGGTGACACTTGTAAGTAATTTTAACTTTGGAATTAAAACAATTGTGTAAATCCCTGCCCTGCACAGCTGGTTGCAGGTGGGAGCTGGCAGGAGCAAGGGATGTTTCTCCTTCCCCATGGGAAGGGTGGCAGGGGCCCAGTCTGCATCAGCCTCAACCTGCATCTCTGGCTGCGTTGTTGCTCTATGCAGAGGGGCTTCAGGCTGTTGCTGGACCTGGTGCAAGCCCAGCCTGACAGAAGGGGAGAGCTGCAGCTCTGGGTTCCTGCAATTCATGCCTTTCTGTGAGGCTGTGCAGGTATCTTCCTTGACAGAGCATCTCAGGGCTCCATGCTGGGGATGGTCTATAAGCTTGGCACCATGTTGAATAAACATTTTCTTGCTGGCCCTGCCCTTGCTCCCCTGCTGTCCAATGGGCACCCTTGTGGGTGGAGGAGGGGTTAGGCTGGGTCAGCTTTAGTTGAGACTCTGGGTCTTCTGTTTCCTGCCTGGATAGGTACTGCATGTATTGGGTCGTGCTTGCAACCAGCATGCTCCTTGCTGCCTCCGGGCTGGTTGTAGCATCTTGAATCTCTTGATGCATCCGTCAGTGTGGCTTTGGTGGCCTCTGCAGTGCTGTGTCCCCTTATACGCACCCAGGTGGCTTCAGGTGGGTGCTGGGCAGCACCTTGCTGAGAGGGTGACCCCAGGGGAGAGCTCTTCCCCAGCATGGGCCTTCCTGACCTTCCCCAGCTCTGGCAGCCCCACACCCCTCACATGTTCTCGCAAGAGCTGCTGGGTGCCCAGGCTGTCCCAGCCCTTCTGGGTGGAGTAGTTTCAAGCACAGTTTACCCGAAACCAGCTGAGCTGCTGTGCTGTGGACAGGACATCAATTACAGGACTTGCTACCCAACTGCTTGAGTCAGGTCTGTGAGGCTGCATTGCAGCAGCCCACGTGCTGTCAGTGGGGCTGGAGTTGGGCACCTGGGTGCCTGTTGGAGCTGATCTGGGGGTGCTGGTGCTCACTGTGTGTTGGGAGCTGCACAGCACAGGCAGGTTTGCACACTGCTGGCCTGCACTGCCACGGGGCAAAGTCCACTGGGGCTGGGCAGGGATGGGGATCAGGCAAGCATTGTGCCTGGGCACCAGGAGGAGGCGATGCCCAGTCCCTGGCACTGCTTTCCTGCCCTCCAGCCAAACCATCTGTTCTCCTGGCTGCTCGTCCTGTGTGCCATGAGCTGGCCCAGGGGCGGAGTGGAGCAGCCACGCTGCCATCTGGCCCCTGCACCCTGAGCACCCAGCTAGTGGGTCCTGGGTGTCAACCTGGCCAGGGACTGATCTCCAGGAGCATCACACCTTGAGGAAGGACATACCTTGTATCTTGGCTTTCCAGGTGTCCTGCCCTTGCATAAATCTTGGTGTGCCTGCCCTGGGATGCCAGTGGCTGCTGCAGGGGCAGGCAGGGAGCCGCGGGGCCAGCACTGCTCTGCAGGGCAGGGTACAAGCTTCCTCAGTTCAGGAACCGGCCTGACCAGTTCCTGAGGCCTTGGCTTGTGTTTTGCTTCCAACAGTGTTGGCCTTGCAGGGACCTGCTGGCCATGCACAGTCTTATCTTTTGGCCAGGAGGTGCCTGCAAGGGTTGATTGCCTCCAGCCAAAGCATGCTGTGCTGCTTTGCTTTTGGCTGCAGTGTTGGGTGCAGAGGGAACGAAAGAGAGCTGCCTCAGCCCTGAGAAAGGTGGGAAAGGGGGAGTGAGTGACCTGGTGGCTGCTGCATGTACCTGGATGTGTAGGGCTGCTTAAGGACCTGCTGCTTGGTCCCTCAGCCCTTCCATTTGCATTGTGTGCTTTCAGACCTCCTTGGGATTCCTTGCAGTGGAAGCTGGTAATTAGCAGGGCAGAGGGTGTTTCTCTTGGTTGAGGAAGGCTCTTTAGTGCCAGGATTAAACCACCAGCCAGCCAGTGTTTGCAGTGCCTGTGCTCATGTTGGGCTGGGGGGTGAGCAGGGCTGATGTCCCAGGAGCAAACCCAGGGATTTTGCTGCCAGCAGTGATGCTTTTACTGGTTGGTCCCTTGGTTTGGTTGTTTTTTTTGGTTATTGTTTTTTTTTTTTGCAAAGTGAATGTATCACAGAGGACACAGTTTGAGATCTGACATTAGCAGAATGAGTTGCACGTGAAGCTTCCAAGTGCAGCTTGTGGGTACAGACTACAGTGCTGGGTGTGATAGTGAGCAGGAGGGTCCTTGTTGCTGCTCTGGTTTGTTTAAAAAAAAAAAAAAGAATAAAGTATTTTCTGTATCTGGTTAGTTTAATAATGAAGATAATTTTAAACTAAGTTGTTCTCAGGGGAAGTATTGAGGAGTCTGAAAAGGATCAGTTCAGGAAGCAGATATATATATATACACACACACCCTCAGATACATTCCTAATTCACAGGCTCTGTACTAACATACCCCTGTGGCTAATCCAAGTGAAGGCTCAGAGCACCCTGTGGTCTCTGCTTGTGCCTCAGCCCACCGGGGGGCTGACATTCCCTGCCCTCCTCCTCAGCCCTGTGCTGGGGAGCAGCCCCACACTCCAGCTCCCTGCTGCCCTCCTGCACACTGCTGCTTTCTTGAGGCTGCCTAAGCTTGGTCTGCTCACTGACCAAAGCCACCCTCAGTCATCTGTGGTCCATGTGCCTCTGGCAGCTCAGGTCAAGAGGCAGTTGTTTGTGTCCAGCACTCCTGTGAAGCTCTGCAGAGCTTCTGCTGAGGTCACCAGTGGTGGGGTGTGCATGTCTTGCCTCAGTAGAAGGCTTCCCAAAAATCTGCATTTAAATCCTGTAGGATGTGAAGGTGGCAATGCTGCTGCCATCATTGCCTGGATGTGATCAGGGAAGTCACTGCTCCTCTCCCTGCTCCTCTGCAGAGCCCTGTTTGACTATGACCGGACCCGGGACAGTTGCCTGCCCAGCCAGGGGCTCAGCTTCTCTTATGGGGACATCCTGCACGTCATCAACGCCTCGGATGATGAGTGGTGGCAAGCCAGACTGGTCACTCCTCATGGCGAGAGTGAGCAGATCGGGGTCATCCCCAGCAAGAAAAGGTGAGTGTCCATCTGCAGGATCTGCCATGGTTGGTGCCTCCCAGAGTTCCCCAGCCGCTGCAGGCCCTGCAGCCCTCAGGGGTCTGCCCAGGGTGTGATATCCTTCTGGTTCTAGCCCACCTGCCCCTCTGTGGCTGTGCAGTGTGAAGGGCACCCTGGTTGCAAGCTGGGGCTGTGTGCAGGTCTGCCCAGGGAGATGTTCTTTAAAGCTGGGTGAGACTCCAGGTGAGGAGGGGCTCAGCCCCCCCTCTGTGGTCCCTGTGGGGTGGAGAGCTGGTGTTAGCCAGTCCGGGGCTCCAAGTGATAACAGTCACAGTAGTGACTGCAAGCTGCTTCTCATGTCCTCTGACAACCTTACAAGCTCTGTGAGCCAGGTCCCATGAGATGGGAAGTCACAGGGAGCAGAGAAGCTGGCTGCCACTGCCATCGGGTCTGCAGAGCCACCCCTATTTCTGTTGTCCATCCCACCCCTTTGGGGAAGGTTGGTTTGTCCTCTCTCCTGCTCTTGCAGATGCTGGCCTTGGTCTAGGTGCCAGGCCGGTGGCTCCACCTTTGTAACTCTCTGGGAAGAAGCTGCCCTGCACCAGTTGGGCCACCATCTGCGGGTGCACAGAGCCACCTGGGGAGCTAAGTGGGTGGCATGGAAAGCACATGCACGGGACTAGCAGCTCTTTCTTCCTTTTGGCTTCTGATCAGGGTGGAAAAGAAGGAGAGAGCACGGTTGAAAACGGTGAAGTTCCATGCCAGGACTGGCATGATTGAGTCCAACAGGGTAAGTGCCAAGCTGGGGCTCAGTGGAATGCCCAGAGCCAATAGCTCATGGGGGCAGGATGACTCCCAGCAGCCAGAGCTCTGGGTGGGGCAGCTGGAGCAATCCCAAAGCAAAGAGCAGCGCGACTGGACCTGCCCTAGGCCTGCGCTGCTTGGCACCAATCCTCTGTGACTCTGCAGGGGATGAGCAGAGGAGCCCAGGACAGTGCAGTAGCACTGGGGAAGGACCCCTGGTTGGAATGGTGGGAGAGCAGAGCCTATCCCACTGCAGCCTGTGGGTGGGAGCTGACACAATTTGTGCAGGTGAAGGTAGCAGCCCATGCCAGCCATGGAGAGCACTTAGTGGTTGGACAAGGAAGGGAGAATTGCCTGGCTACCCTTGCAGAGCTGATTGCCCCATCATCTTGCCAGCACCCCTACCACATGTGTTTCTCCACGCTTAATTTTTTTCCTGCATTACAGTTTTCATGTAATCTCCATGATTTCATTTGAGGGTAACTGCCCTGACACATCTCCTCGTTGTCTCTTCATTTTAATTTTTCCCACGTGTTAAACACCATTGTTTTTTCTGTCCTCCCTTCCATCTCCATGTTCTTCAGTCGATCAAAACGAAACGTAAAAAGAGTTTCCGCCTTTCTCGAAAGTTTCCATTTTACAAGAGCAAAGAGAACCTGGTCCAGGAGAGCAGCGGACAGGAACGTAAGTAGCAGCTGGCCAGAGAGGGAGAGCATGACCCTCAGGTTCCCTGCCTTGGGAACTTGTGTTCAAGTCTGTGCTCCACAGTTGGGCCACCAGTAAGGAAGAAAATGGAGCTTGAAATGAAAGGAGCAGCTGTGGAACAGT